TTTAGATATGTTTGTTGTAATTGCTTACTTAGGATGATTTCTAATTAATATTCATTAATAGTCTATGAAATTTGTCTGAAAGACTGTTGTAGGCCTCACCTTGGTTTTATGGCCACGTGGTGTGGTTTCCTCGAATTCTTCACCCAGTTTAAAGGAGATTTCATTATTTTTAAAGATGCTTTTTGTTTTTATAGTGATCACATCTTCATTTGTACTGATGGTCACAGTGGGTTTTGCCAGACAACCCAGTTTCCTGCTGGCTCTTCCTATTCCTGGAAACCAGACATAAGGTCACTTAATTAAACCTGTTGTTAGCTTTAATAACTCATGTTATCTGTATAATTCTTTACTAACTAGGAGGTCTGTGAGTTAAACCGACTTAATGCTACATGAATTCGAAAATCTAAAGCTAGTAGTTCCACCATTACATGTTAAAATAAACTATTTGTTTGCAGAAAAAAAATTAGTCTTTAGTTTTTATTTAGTGATTATCCTGTTTCTTTAGTCCAGTAGTTATTAATCCTGTTGATTCTTGGATCCCTTTGAAAATCTGATTAAAGTTATCAATCATCTCCCTATTTTAAAAATATACTTGTTCACATACAAGCAAAATACTTTGGTATGGTTTCTTCCAGACCTTTAGCTCTTCACTTACATTCTTACATGTGCACATATAAAGGGCTTGTTTTCTCTATTAAGTATTTTTTTATCGTGGTAAAATACATGTAACAAATTTACCATTTTAACCAATTTAAGTGTACAATTCACTAGCATTAAGTACATGACAATGTTGTGTAACCATCACCACTATATGTTTAGCTCTTCACTTACATTCTTACATGTGCACATATAAAGGGCTTGTTTTCTCTATTAAGTACTTTTTTATCGTGGTAAAATACATGTAACAAATTTACCATTTTAACCAATTTAAGTGTACAATTCACTAGCATTAAGTACATCACAATGTTGTGTAACCATCACCACTATATGCAGGTTTTTAAAAATGCAAATATTAAATCTATTGTTATTCAGTTTGCTTTTCCCCTTGTCTGTATGTCTCAGAGATTTTCCATGTCAGTACATATAGGTATATATTTTATCCACGGCAACATAATATTCCATAATATGTATATGTCAAAATCTATTTGATCTGTCCCCCTATTGATAAGCAACAAGTTAGTTTCCATTTTTGTTATCACAAATAATTCTGCAGTGATCACACAGCTTTGTGCAGCACATGTAGGAGTGTTTTCAATAGAAATAGCATTACATACACAATATTACCTAAGTTAAATTTCTAAGAGAAGATATATTGGGGAAATACCATAATATGGTTCATAGAATTCATGTAAAACATGATCACAAGATGTGACAGATTAGATAATGGTCCCAAAGCTATTCATGTCCTAATCCCTGGAACCTGTGAATGTTACCTTATATGCTAAAGGGCACTTTGTAGATGTGGTTAATTTAAAGATCTTGAGATGGGAAGATTATCCTACATTATCAGAGTGAACTCTAAATGTGTAATCACAAATTTCCTTGTAAGAGGGAGGAAGAGGGATGTTGGCCTACAGAAAAGAAGGCAGTATGTAAACAGGAGCAAAGACTGGGGTGTTCCAGACACATGCCAAGGAATTCCATCAGCCACCGGAAGGTGGAAAACAAAATGTATTTCGAAGGTCCCCTACAGCTTAAAGCAAATGTTTGTAAAATAATACTTTTAAAAAAATAATCATACCTTTTGGTTTTAAATCACTTGTTAAATTCACTCACTGTTTATTATGATACATGCATCTTTAAAAAATATACAGCTGTAGTAAATTACATGAGGGATTGTGTCAATTCCAGCCTAATTTTGCATGGACTCATATATGGTGCTGGATCAATATTTATTTTTTCTATGTGAAAAATTAAGGGGTCCAAGATTAATCTTATTTCATACAGTGCAAGTTCTGTGCTATCAAAACGCCCGTTTTTACTGGCTTTGATATGCAAGTAAACATAGCTCACCTAGCTCTTTCATATATTCTTCGAAATTTTTACAGGAAATTGATTTCCATGTGCCTTGGAGCTGATCAACCATTCTGTCTGAGATGAGTTGATCTCAAACAAAAACAGCTTCATATGGATGTGTATGTTGGTGTCCCCTGAAATAATATTGAAACCTGTTTTTAAAGTAATTCTGGGTAGAGAGTACCATGAGACAAGTCAGGGGAAAACAATAAGAAACTTGAATTCTTGTGATTTTTCTTGAATACCATCTAAAGAAGAAAAGCTCTCTTAACTGTAAATAAGTCAGGATGAAAATAGAAACATGGTAGAGTTTTTAGCAGGACTCAGTATAATTTTTCCAGCACTAATTTAGGATCAAAACCAGATGTTACCTTCCTTCCCTAGGACCTGCCACACATACACAGCAACGTGTAAGGGGTGGTCTGGGCAGGTAGGTTTATGCTGTAGACTTCTATGCCCCAAGTCTCTCTCTCTGACCAAGGGTGACTCAGAAAAACTCAATTTGTTGGCTGTTTGGAGATTTTATTTTCTCATTCTTGATAATTTGAACTAAAAATAGATTTCATAAATGGTATTTGGTATTTGAAGTAAAAAGTTTTGTTGGGCTAGAACAACTATATTAAGCCAGTGCACACTGAGCAAGATGAAACAGAGAAAAAAGAAAGAGATCGTGTTACACATGGGCACGTGTGCACACACACACAGCCTTGTTACTGATGTCATTTTCCAGGTGCCAGCTCAATTTCCTGTAAGCTTAGAGAGAGCAGTCATTGCCATGAGAATACCAGATATCTTCTTAGTAAATTCTCAATTTAGGATCGTTTCTGTTCCTTTCAACCTTGGCTGTAACACTCTGATATTGACTGATATCTGTAAGGAATCAGAACAGGGGACAAGGAATATAACAGCAAATATACCACCTAAAAGCAAGGAGACTCTAAACATTAAATTAAAGGACAAACACACCCTTAAGCATGCCATCAGCCCCCGAGGACATCATTGTTAATTCTAGGCAGTGCTTGATGTTCATACGTTAGCATAGAGTTATTAAGAAAACCTGCAGTTATAAAATCCTTTTAAGGAAGGAAGGGGATACAGCATTTTATAATATCTCCATTAATGTGCTAAATTTCCAAATTCCAATATCCATAAAGGTATTTATGCAGGCCAATAGTCTTATGGATAATTATTCAACTAACATTTATAGAGCAACTACTATTATACGCCTAATATGAGGCTAAGAAATTTTGCATGTTCTGTTGGTTTAATGTCCTGGTAATGGTTGATAAAGATATCATAGTTTGTTGGTTTTTGCTTCTTTCCTGAGTTAGGCAATTTAACATTACATTTTTTTTTTTACATTAATGTGTACAATTTTTAGGGTTATGCCCACTCAATTTAATAGGCATGAGGCTGAAGCCAGTTAATGACCCACGACTAAGAATGCTGCAGGTAGTAAAATTAGGCATTACAATTCCTAGGACTTTTCAAGAAAATGTTGAATGGGTTGCCACATGTGTTGGATTCACACTGATAGTCCATCATAAGGAAAATCACTGATTGAAAATCACCTCCCTGAAAAAGATGACGTATTGGGAGTGCTGTTGGTTTCTGTTGCTGTCAGGATAGACTTGCAGAGGTGTCAGTAGCTGAATCATAAGACAGAGACCATGCATGGCTTCTGTCTTTGCCACTGTGGCCCCTCCCTGCAAGAAGGAGAATTCAAAGACTGGCTAGTGTCAACTGACTAATGTCACTTTGTCTACTTGGTTGTTCAGTGCCTCTTGTGTGATGGATGGTTTCTAGTGTCCATTAATATGTGAGTTGACAATCTTCACACATTATGCCCACTCTCAATGGCCATCCACATTTCTCTAGGCCAAACATCCTTGTCGGCAGTTTTTCAGTCCTTTTCCTTCCAGACCCCCGCAGAGCCTATCAGACTATTCATTTCTACCAATGAGTGTGCATATGTTCCCTTCTTGAGCCACTGCTCCTTCCATACAAAATGGGTAACAGGTGTACCACTCTGAGCTTTGTCCATGGAGGTAATTTTCCCTTACCAGTTTCTCAAGCCCCCTCCCACACTGGGTATAATAAAACCACTGCCCATTTTCAGCTTACCCCACACACTAAGATGACCAACCTGTAAAACATACTCGGGCTTTTCCTCCTCCTTCAGCTGATCATGTGGACACCCCTATTGTCCTAGGCATGATCTGAGCAGCCATGGTAGGTGATGGGGAGATCTAGGCTACCTGCACGTGCAGTTACCTTATGACTTCTGGACTCATGTAGGCCTGTTCCCAGATGCACGATTTCAATCTTATGAAGGACTGTTGCCAGGCCTACCTGAGTTTATGATTCTATGAGTATGACAGAACCTAGCTCATAATGGATAGTTCTGGACACGTTGTTACTTGGTGTCCCATAGTTAAGAATCTTTACAGGCCCCCAGTAACACACCAGGAACTCTTTTTCAAAAGGCACATAAGTCTCTGTTGCAGATGGAGTGGCTTTGCTCCAAAACCCCAGAGGTCTGTGTTGTGGTGCTTCCATACTGTATCTTTTCCTATCACTAACACCTCCAACATCGCAGGGCTTGCCAATTATATGGCTCAAGCATCAGGGAAGTTCTTACTGTAGCTCTGACTTCTTGAAGATCCCTTTCTTCTCTAGGCCCCACTCAAAGCATACAGTACATAGGCTGGAGCACATTCCTATATGTGCAGTATGCTACCACCCTAAGACAAAGGGTCCTACTAGAATTTGGTAGAAGATGTAAAACACGGCATCTTGTCTTTTAAAAGGAACAGCCTTAATGCCCTTGACCAAGCTAGACCCCTAAAAACTTTACAAGAGTGGATGTTACTCCAATCATCGCTCACTCTAACTCCCGTACTTCGTATTGCATGTGTCTTACCAAGGCCTCCAGTGTGCTAGCCACTCCTTGCTTATCCTGCCTGATCAATATGATGTTGTGCCAGATGTCCAGACAGCCCACAACTCATCTGATTATGTCAGAGAGCAGGAGTTAACACAGCCCCAGGACAAAACTGCAAAAATATATTGTTGTCTGTTCCAGGTAAATGCAAACGGTTTCTGATCCTCTTTTCTGATCCTTCCTGATCATTCCTTACTGAGATAGAAAAGAATGCCAAATTAATGTCTGCATAACATGTACCCAAGGTCATATTAATCTGCACTACCAAAGATAACACATCTAGCACAGTAGCCACAATTGGGGCCGTTAGCTGAAGTTTACAATAGCCTACAGTCATTCTCCAGGATTCATTTGGTTCCTGCAGTCGTCAGACTGGTAAATTAAATGGGACTATGATATGGACCATCCCCCTCCTGTATTTTTAAGGTCCTTAAGAGCAGCCCTAATTTCTGCCACTCACCACCACCACCACCAAATGCAATGTTTTTTGATTCACCATCTTATCCTGAATGGAGAGGGGTGGGAGCGGAGGGAGTGGGAGTTGGGGGCACAGTTCAGAAGCTTGCACTTTTCCTTCCCCACTGTGGTAGCTCCTATGTGGTTAGAATGAGAAGAATTCAAGGCAGAGGTTACTCCAACAGCCAAGTATGCCAATCCCAATTATACACTTAGGAACTGGGGAGAGGAGCCCTGGGAGAGTCCACAGACCTACTAGACCTACTGGGAGCTAGACTTTGGCTGGGGTTCTGTTTCTTACCTGGCCTGTGTGCCTTCACTCTAACATGATGCTTTGGAACTGTGTGAGTCAGTGTCAACTCGGATCCATTGCCTTCAAGATTCCTGGACATTCCTTTGTCCCCACTGCGTATTTTCTCAAGTAAATTATCGCAGGTCTCTTTTGAGGAAAATGGGAGAAATTATCGCAGTATATTTTTGTCATGGTATTTCAGGGTTCTTCCTCCTGTGGACTTGTCACCTCTTTAATCAATGGTTTCTGGGTCTGAAAACTGGCTTAGGTCTGGGATCTGAGCAAAGGATCGCGACTTTCTGTTGGGGTGACCATCCTCAGTCTGCTGCTCATCATTTTTTCCTTCTTTTGATTGTATATACAAAGCAGCACCCTTGTTGGCTGTCTGCGTTGCCTCTGTGGATTCAATGTTCTTTTAATCATCTCCATAACCCCCTGAAGTACAAACCCCCTTAACTGTGCCTTCAGCTTTGCCCCTCATGGTAATTGAAAACCCCTTGCTTCTGTCAATGAAGTGCTGTGCTGCCATCTGGCCCATATTGCTTCAGATTCTCTTCATCTCCATTGCTGTCAATGAACCAAACTCTATGACAACCCAAGAAAAGCAACTGCCGACACTCTTAGTGATGCTGTGGCCCCTCTTACCAGTGCCTTCCTGATGGGCTGGTCAGCATTGTATCTCCTGGATTCTCCCATGGAGCATAATCATCTGATTGCTTTTCTGACATATATATGTACACACACACACGTACATATATATAAACTCATACACATACACACATGTGCGACAAGTGTACTTCAAAAGGTTCATCAAAAAATAGAATTGAGGGCCGGCCCGGTGGTGCACTCAGTAGAGCGCGGTGCTTGGGAGTGTGGCGGTGCTCCCGCCGAGGGTTCAGATCCCATATAGAGACCAGTCTGCTCACTGGTTGAGCGCAGTGCGGGCGTGACACTGAGGGTTGCGATCCCGTTACCAGTCACAAAAAAAGACAAAAAGGAAAAAAAAAAAAATAGAATTGAAAAATAATATGAGTCTCTCCATGAACTCTTTGAAGTACCCTCACATATATGCTCTCTTTCTACAGAAAGATATTACGACTATATTCATCTATAACAGAAGTACTGATCTCCTAACTTTCCTACAAAAAAGAAGAGGAGAGCCCCACCGTACAAAAGTTTCCAGCCTTTTGGCATGCTGGATTTGAGTTCTTTCAACTAAATGGTTTGAAGTGTTTGGAGCTGGGCAAGGCATGGTGGGCACTCTCCAGATATTGGCATGCAAGGAAAACTCAGGCCTTGCTCATTTGCTGTTCATTCATAAACACGTGAGTACCTACTAAATGAAAGATCCCCATGCTGGTTCTTTCCCACTACTCGA